CACATTCCTCATGTTTTTGCGGCGATGCTGGTGGAAACACACCTACTGCGCTAATTGTATAAAAGTATAGCAGGTACAGTTATGTATGGTATGTAATTCTTGATAATGATAATAATGACGGTGTTACTGGCTTATGTATTTACTATAGTTCTTAACATTATTTTAGAGTGTACTCATACACCTCATGTTTACCATGTCTCTTGATTGCCTTATTTTCTCCTGTGGCTGATTCAATCTGCATTGTTTTGTGCAGTGACATGCTGTGCAGGCCTGTAACCTGGGAGCAATAGGTTATACTATATGGCGTGTGTGGTGGGCTAGACCATCTAGGTGTGTGTATGTGCACTTTGCAATGTTGGCACAACAATGTAATCACCTAACGATGCGTTTCTTGGAATGTATTCCCTATTGTTAAGTGGCACATGGCTATGATGGGCTGTTTTTATTACTCAAAATAATGCATTGCTTATTATGTGTCTGGGGCTGAATTTTATAAAATTTGTTGAAGAATAAAGGTCCTCTGCCCCCTTTCCTGCCTTCATAATCAGCTCTGAGTCATGAGACCTGTGTGAGGTGCCAGAGACCCAGTGATGAATCGGACATAGACATATAATCTCTGCCTTCAGGAAGCTCCCACTCACGTGGGGGCGATGAGCAAATAAAGCCACTCTGTCACAGGCTAAGCACCATTAGTGAGGTTGTAGGGCACAGAGAAGACACACCTAACCCAGACAGAAGGGTGGAGGAGGGAGGAAGGAGGACAGATTGGTTAGGGAAGGCTGCCTAGAACAATGGCCTATCAATGCTGGCCCTGGCCCTTGGGGTTGTGAAATCAATTTTGCAGAGAGCAACCAGCACTTTAAAAAATTAAATAAAATAGAAAATATCATAGTATATCACATGTAGGAAGAATACATGCATATGTCTGTATGTGTACCGAGCCATGATATAAATCTTTCCTCACTGCCAGCCAGGGTCTAAAGGTTTGAGAGTCCCAATCCCAGAGAATTCATGCCTGCCGATCGGCAACATCTGACACATTGTAGGCACTCAGAGACACTTTGATGAGTGGAGGGATGGATTTCAATCCTCTCAGCAATCCGGCAAGCAGGAACCATCCTCCCCAGTAAGAAAGGCATTCTTGAGAGTCCAGACCGAGCAAACCCAGACCGGTCAGGCGTGCTTGCAGTTTGCAGTTTAGCAGGCCCGCGCTTTCCAGTCAGGCCTAAAGCAAGCTTCTCTGTCTGGGAAAGAAGCTCAGGCAGTTCCGAGAAGCTCCACGGGCAAGCAACCCTTCTTGGCGCCCCACCAAGGTGGCATGTGCTCAGGCCGCTGTGTTTACTCTGGGTTGGCCTCAGTCACCTGCCTTAGATCTGCATGGTCAGCACCCTTGTGCCTCCAGGATGCCAACAGGAAGTACTGTTTATGGGGACAGACCCGAATGCAGGAGAGAAAGGTCCTGGGGGAAACAGAAGATGGACAGAAGCCCGAATCAGTCCCTGGCAGGGTGAGTCAAGGGTAATGACTAGGTGGCACTCAAAGAGACTTCCTTTTAGTGGTTTTCCAGGACACTTCAACCTTGATTTGTCCTATAATATCAGGACCAAAATACCCCTTGGCTGCCTTTCTCCTCCATTATAGACTCTTCAGGTTGGGAAGACCCTAGAAATTACCCACCCAAAGCCCTTATTTTACAAAAAAAAAAAAAAAAAAGAAAGGGGTCCAGAGAGGGAAGGCATTGACCCAGGGTGAACCAGCAAGTAGCCTAAGAGCAGGTCGGGGTGGGGAATGGAGGCAGAGGGGAGAGGGGAAATGACCTCAAACCCAGGTCTCAAACCCAGGGGTAGGGGTCCTTCAGATGTCCCTCTCTTGATATCTTGCCAGCAGGATCTCCTATCCAATTTTATCCCCTTTGCCCTCTTCTCTATATGTAACCACAGAAACCTTTCTAAAGGGTAAGTCAGTTACTTCCTACCTGCCTGAAACCTTCCCTTGCTCCCCACTGCCCTTCAAATGCAAAGACACCCACAATCTTTCCTATTGTCCTCACCCTTCCCACGTCTCGGGCTCCTTCCCTTGCTCTTTTTCCTAACACATTGCTGTCTCACCTCCAGGAGAGATGTGCCCCCAGAAGTGCAGGGTTCTCCCCCATCTCTCCTTTCACGTGCTGGCTCCTCTGCCTTTAACACTCTCCCCAACCCGGCTGCACTTGTCTGCTTGTATTTAGGTTGCACATTAGATCTTGCTTTTCTTGCAGGCCTCCTGGGTTAAGTATCCCTGCTAGCTTCTCTTGCCAGCAATTTGGTGTTGTTATGATCCATTTTACTGTCAGTTTCTCCTGCTCCCTGACAGAAGAGGCCATGCTGCTGCTATCACCTTCATGCAGAATACAAAGCCATAGCAACTGTTCAGTAAGTATCTGTTGACCAGACAATCATCAATGTCTGTCCTTCTCCAAACTTTCTAAGAATGGTCTTCCCTTCCCATGATGCAATTTTAAGACTTAATTTTTTTAGAGCAATTTTGGGTTCACAATAAAATTGAGATGAAGTTGCAGAGATTTCCCATGTACCTCTTGTATCACACATGCAGAGTCTCCACCATGACCAACATTCCCCCACCAGAGCTGTACATTTGTTACAACTGATGGACCTATGTTGGCAGATCACAAGTACCCAAAGTCCATAGTTTATATTAGAGTTCACTCTTGGTGTTGTACATTCTATGGGTTTGAATAAATATACTGTATAATGGCATGCATCCATCATTATATAATAGTATTCAGAGTATTTTCAGTGTCCTAAAAATCCCTGTGCTCTGCCTATTCATCCCCCTACATGCTTTTTAAAGTTTATCATTAAGCATAGCTTTTGCCCACAGGATTCTCGGAACACAAATTCTGATTTCCCAGCCACACCTTATTTTACATGCCTCTGTGTCTTTGTACATGCTGTTCCCTCTGCCTGAAATATCCTTCCAAAATATTCCTGTTTATGAACTCCTTACTCATCTTTAAGACCCATCACTTCTGGCACCATTTTTTTTCTGACTGACACCCTCTACTACCTCGGCCGGGTGATTAGTTCTCCCTCCTCAACACCCTTTCCTCCAGGGCTTCCCCCGATGAGGGCCCATATCTCATTACATTGTGATTGTATGTTTCTATGTCTGTCTCCCCCACCAGACTGTGAGTCTCCTTGGGACTAGGATGTCACCTCAGTGAGATAAGACCAGAATATAGTTCAAACCTAAAAACCAGGAAATGAATCAGTTGCATTATACCACAACTGAAGGACGATTATACCAACGCAGAATTCCCAAAATATGTCCATGGAACCCTAGTTCTATAAAAATGCTCCCAATTAATTTATACAGTACGGTAGAGGGGACATTGTCTTACTGTGTACACCCTAGTTCTATAAAAATGCTCCCAATTAATTTATACAGTACGGTAAAGGGGACATTGTCTTACTGTGTACATTTCTCTATGGGAAGAGGCTCCTCTCATCAACCAGGACAGGACTTCTGGTCTACCTGGCAGTTTCTTTCTCTTTATAGAACTGAGTTTCTTGATCTGGATCTTTAGAGAGACTATCAACCTCTTAAGAATACATGCAAAATACGTTTATATATGTGTGTGTGTAACATGTAGGCTTGTATGTGTGTGTGTGTGTATGTCTATGCATTTTTCTAGGAGGAGGTCCATAGCTGTTATTCCTAGTGAGTCTGACTCTAGACAAGAGAAAGGTTAGGAATCACTGTGTTAAAGGAAAATGCTCATGTTCTCACTTGTACAGGGTGTCCCAAAAATATATGCATACTTTAACAGCTGATGATTTTTATTAAATTTTGAAAACAAAATCTATTTTAATAAACACTGCCTTTATAATTATTCAAAGTGTGTATACATTTTATTTTTGGATGCCCTCTATACTGGCTTCCTGCTGGCCTGGTCACTGTTAGTCAGTCCTCCTCAGTCTGATCAGTTAGTGTTCACTTACCAAATTGAGGTTGTGGAACCTCCCAGGTCCTCCCCTGGCTGAGGGGCCACCGGTCCTCTTTGACCACATGGTATCACTCACATCTAGGCCTTTGCTGTGATGTCTCCTTTGGCTGGAAAAACTCTGCCTGTGCCTTATGATCAACTGTTAATTATTCTTTGGGTCTCAGCTTAGCTGTCATTTCCTTCTTGAGACCCTCTTCAAATTTCCATTTCTGGATTAGGTACCCTTCTTTGTGCTCTCACAGAAGCATTCCCACCTCTCTGACCCCATCCCCTATTTAGGGCCATATTTTCCCCTTTCGTCGTGCTTATTCCATGATGTAGTCAACTGTTTGTAGGAATTGTCTGCTACCTGTCTAACTATAAACTCCCTGAAGGAAGGGGTTTGTGTCTAGCTTTTCCATGTTTTGCTGCCCACACCAAGCACAGTGTCTGACATACAGTAGGTGTCCATTAAATACTAGCTGAAGGGGACCATGCAAAAATAAGTACCTTAGCCTGGCTGGTGTGGCTAAGTGATTGAGCACTGGACGTGTGAACTGGGAGGTGGCTGTTTGATTCCCAGGGAGGGCACATGCCCAGGTTATGGGCTTGATCCCCAGTGTGGGGTGTGCAGGAGGCAGCCAATCAATGATTCTTTCTCATCATTGATGCTTCTCTCTCTCTCTCTCTCTCTCTCTCTCTCTCTCTCTCTCTCTCTCTCTCTCCCTTCCTTCCCTCTCTGAAATAAATAAAAAATATATATTTTAAAGTATCTTAAGCCTTTCGGTGCTATACTTATGTGCTGTCACAGTTAGACCACTAATGTCCTTTCCTTCTCTCTGTGACTATGTATAGAATTGATAGTTTAAGATTTTCAATTAGTGAAACATTCAGATATCAGTGTTTGTCTTTTATCGGCAAAATTTTTTCTCATCCAATGCATGTGTGCACACACATGCACAAACCTGAGTGTGGAAGAGAGAACATGTGCCACAGAGTGTCAGAATGAACATACCGGCATTTCGCAGAAAGCGGTTCTTATAGTCCCTGATGACCCTTGTTTTTGGGTTGTAGAAGCCATCTCCACAGTCATAATAGCCTGGAAGGATTTTTCTAGGAGGGTCCATATTGGAGAGTTGAGAGATACCTTGAAAGGATAAATAATGGATAATTAACTTGTCACCAAGGCCAAATTCAAGCCCAGCCTCTGCCAAAGTCCACTTTGGGCCAGTTGCTCATGTGAATATTGGTACCACCGTTGGACTAAACACTCCCCATTGAGGGCCAGGAGCAAAAGCAGCAGGAACAGTACCCCAGAGTAGTGTCCCAGAAATGGCTCAATGAGGGGGTGTCTTAGGAACTAGACCCCCATCTCTTTTCTTTGACCCCATCTTCCATTTCTAGGGACTCCATGATAAGGAGACATTTCTGGAGTCGATGAGACCCTGAGGATGCCTCTGAGTTGATCATATGGATAGAAGGCATGTAAAGAGAGGAATGGCATTCAAGGTGCTGGCCGAGGGCAGAGCAGTTGCTTACACCTCACTCAGAAGCCTGTGGAGTCAGGCACGTATAAGGAAGAACAGAAGGAAAGAAATGGGCCAGGTGGGCAGGGATAAGGTAATAGAGAACCTTGACTCTCACCCAAAATACCATCATAGCCGCCATTTATTGCTTATTATGTGCCAGGTATTTGACTATGCGCATGACTCCTACTTTTTCACTTCATTCTCACAACAATTCTGTGGCCCTGTTTTACAGGTAAGAAAACGGGGGCTCCAAGAGGTCAAGTGGCTTGCTAGGAAGGTTTTCCAGCTAGGAAGTAGGTAAATACCCAGTTTGTAACCCGAATATTAAGTTTCTGCTATCAGGGGAGGAGAGGGTCTCGGCACCACTCCCAGGACTGGGGACACTAGAACCACCGAGCTGGTGCATCTTTTAGGTCACGTTGTACATCTTGGAACATGGAGGCCTAAGCAAAGGGGACAAAGTTGGGATGAATAACTTCCTGGGTTTCATTTAATTTGTGGTTCTTGTAATTCCCTGTCCTCTGGCCCCATGCTCAGAACTCAGGGCCCTGCACACTGTAGGCTTTCCTATGTTGGTTAATGGTGATCGCTAGGTACACCATTGACTAACAATTACTGAGCGCACTCTCCACGCTGAGCATTTTCTAGCCATTCTCTCCCTGAAGCCTCTTGCACACGGCCATCTCCCAGATGCTCATAGAGGTGAAGGGGCAGCCCGAACCCTCTCCCTGCCCTAATAGTGCCTGCCCTGGCACTGACGGGAGGCTGTTGGAGAGGTCTGCAGGGTGCTGAGTGACTTGGGGAAGGAAGTGGGTGCTTAGGATCAAGCTGCTCTGCTGGGAGTCACAGGAGGAGAGGAAAGGGTGCAGGAAAGATCATCACACTGCCTTCAGGTCTGAAGAGGCCCCGCTTTGGCCAAACCAGCCGCTGTGTGAGAGCTGGGGCCTGTGGCCGGAGAGCTCTTTGTCTCTGTTGGGGTGAAGAGCCCGTCATCACTAACCCAGGAGGAGCCATTTATAAGTTTCTCAAGTGGCTCCAGGTCCTGGCTCTCATGTGTTCTGTGGCCCCTGTTCCTTTCCTCCTCTCCTTTGGGTTACTTCAATAGGCCACGCCCACTTATTATTATAAAAACTGCCTTTCCTCTCCCTCTCAGTTTGGGACTGAAGGAGCCTGGGTACCTGTAGGCTTCAAGCCGTGGCAGATCTCGGTGTAAAACCTCCGGTCATAGCCGTCACAGTAATGCCAGTTCTTTCCGTCATACTGCAATCCGTCAGAGAAGGTGTACGTGCCCTGAACGACAAGGAGCACACAGGTGGATCTGAGGAAGCCCTTCTTTAACCAAGAAGGACAAAGGCCAAGGAAAGAGGTGACTGCCTAACTGCCACAGAAAAGAAGTGATAACTTTTGCAGATGATGATAATAAATAGATGTACAGTGCTGAGCTTGGTGCCTGACACTCAGAATATGGCTAAATGTGACCTTGGGCAGATGACCTACCCTCTCTACCCCTTAGTTTTTTCCTTTGTACAATTAGGATAACAATAGTACATATTTAATAGGGTTGATTCAGTGAAATTCAAGGAAATAGTAGATGCAAAGCATTTAGCTCAGTGCCTAGCATGTAGTAAGCACCCAACAGATGTTTAAAGTTATTATAACTCTTTTATTGTTATCAAAACTCAAAAGGTCAGAGCCATCTGTCACAGTCCTTTGTCCAAACACATCCATTCTGCTTCTGCTGCCTTCATGCTAAAGGAAGAAGCCCCAGGATGCAGACATCGCATTGGCCTGAGCATCAGGAAACACGGGTGGAAATTCCAATACTATTAACTCACTGGGTGACCTTGGGTAAGTCACATCCCCTTCCTGGGGCTTCGATTCTTTAAGCTATAAGACAACGGGTGTTTCTTAATCTTTTGTAGGTCATGAGCCAGCCTCACACACACCCTTGGTGAGTCTGATGAAAGGTATAGATCCTTTCCCCAGAGAAAAATATAGTCCCATGCACACAAGACTTTTCTATATAAATCAGGAGCTTTCGCTGGCTCCCTGAATTCTATTTGTGACGACCCACAAATTCCAGGTTAAGAATCCTTGGATTAGATGACTTAACATGATAGTATCAGTGGTGGTGGCAGTAACAGCTAACACTTATTGAGTGCCTACTGTGTGCCAGATATTGAGCTAAGCACTCACATGTACTTCATTTACTCTCATAGCCATCCCAGGAAGTGCCTGATACTATTGTGGCAGGCTGAATAATGGTCCTCAAAAATATTCACATTTGATCTCTGGAACCAGTGACTATGCAGACTGTATATGGGAAAGGGGACTTTGCAGATGTGCTTAAATTAAAGATTTTGAAGTGTCAAGATTATTCTGGATTATCGGGGGGGGGGGGCAATGTAATCAGGATCCTTATAAGAGGGAGGCAAGAGAGTCCGAGTGATAGAAGATGAGGTGATGACAAAAGCAGAGGGAGAGGTGATGTAATGATGGAAGCAGAGGTCAGAGTGATGGGTGGCCATGAGCCAAGGAATGTAGGCAGCTTTTAGAAGCTGGAGATGGTAAGAAAATGGATCCTCCCACAGAACCTTCAGAAGGAATGCTGTACTGCTCACCTGTTTCAGACTTCTGACTCCAGAACTGTAAGATGCATGTTTCTGTTGTTTTAAGGCACTGACTTTGTAGTGATTTGTAACAGCAGCAATAGGAAATTAATAAAACTCATCCCCAATTTATTAGATAAGGAGCATGAGCCTCAAAGGGGAAGTCTTGGGCTCAAGGTCACACAGTTAGTGGCTTAACAGGATTCAAACTCATCATGGCCTAACTCATCAGGGCCTCTCCAGCGGCCCTTCTGGATCCAGAGGGAGAAGACCCCAGATCCCTGGATGTCAAGAGGAGGCATCGAATAGGGAAGGCAGGGTGTTGTGTGTATGTGTGCATGTGTGTGCATGTGTGCATGCGTGCGTGCCTGTGTGTGTGTGTGTGTGTGTGTGTGTGTGTGTGTGTGTGTGGTAGGAGTCCTGTCTGAGGCTTTCTCCTCTGCAGTTCCCCTCCCAGGCTAATCACCTTAACAGCCAATCCTTTCTCCCAAATGGCATCGTATCGGCTCCCATTGGGGAAGTACAGGGTTCCTTCGCCGTGAAACATGCCGTCCTTCATTTCCCCAACGTATCTTGTTTCAGTAGGGAGGATGTATTCGGCATTACCCTCCATCCTGTAAGGACAAAGGAAATCACTGAGCCCTGCGTCGCAGGGGGAGGATCTGAGCCAGTAGGCACAGGAGAGCAAGGAGGAACCTAACTCCGGGTCCTCAGATGTTATCATCCCAGCAATATTCTGCTTAAAACCAAAAGTTTTGTGTTGTTTCCCTCAAAAGCTCAAAAATAAGAAAAGCTGATGGAGGGAGGCAGAATGTGATCTGTCCCTCCTCTTCCTCACAGAGAGGCTGTCCTGAAATACCCATCATTCCTGAGAACATCCCTGGATAGACTCAGAGCGGGGAAGGGTTTGCCCAAGCCATACAGTAAGCACTGTGAAGCAGAGACTTGGGCCAGGTTTCCTGGCAACTGGCTCTGTGTCTTTCCTGCTAAGACCAACCCAACCCTACCCATCACACCACAAGTGGGATATTTGGAAAAGTATACAATTTGGACAGGTTACCTGGGTCTGCTTAAGAAATATGCTTTCATTCATTCCTTTTTTTTTTTTTTTTTTTTTTTTTTTTTTTTTTAAATATATTTTATTGATTTTGTACAGAGAGGAAGGGAGAGATAGAGAGCTAGAAACATCGATGAGAGAGAGTCATCGATCAGCTGCCTCTTGCACACCCCCTACTGGGGATGTGCCCGCAACCAAGGTACATGCCCTTGACCGGAATCGAACCCGGGTCCCTTAAGTCCCCAAGCCAACGCTCTATCCATTGAGCCAAACCGGTCTCGGCCATTCATTCCTTTACTCATTCTCCATTCTTCTTCACTAGCTGGAAGTCACTGCTCCTAACTCTGAACTTCTTTAGGCTTTTGTTTGTACCTCTGTTGGACGCTTGCCTAGTAATTGTATATTTCATCTCTCCTATTTAATCAAAGCATCTAGGAGGAAGGCCTCGGTATCCTCAACTCTTAGAATCATGTTTCTTCTTAAACAGATGCTCTATAAACATCTACTGAGTAAGAAATGAAGGAAACAGAACGGTCAGTGAGATGACTGAACAGAAGACAGATGCCACTGAGCTCCAGTCCCAAAGTGTGAAAGCACTGGTTAAAGCACAGTTTCTGAGCCATGCAGACCTGGAGTCCAAACCTGGCTCCACCTCTCTGTGCCTGCGTGACCCTGGGAAAGCTCCTTCACCTCTCTGAGCCAGTTTCTCATCTGAAGAATGGGGATAATGACAACAACCCCCTAAAGGTGTTGGGTAATTAAATGATGGCTATACACTGTAGCAGAATGCCTGGCATATACAAAGGGTTCAAAAACTATTTTGCCTTTATTCTACCTAAAGTCTTCCTTTTTCTTCTACCTGTTTGCTTGAGATTACATAATTTCTCTTTTTTTTAAAAAAATGACGATTTGTTTGAAATGTGTAACTTTGATATGCAAAAGATAATAACTCACAATGTTAATATTAAATATTCCTTCAAAATAAAAAAATTAAATATATATATATATTTTATTGATTTCCTTACAGAGAAGAAGGGAGAGGGATAGAGAGTTAGAAACATCAATCAGCTGCCTCCTTCACACTCCCCACTGGGGATGTGCCCACAACCAAGGTACATGCCCTTGACTGGAATCGAACCTGGGACCTTTCAGTCTGTAGGCCAACACTCTATCCACTGAGCCAAACCAGTTTCGGCCATAATTTCTTTCTTTATTTTTGAAGTTTACATTTCCTTTAATTCTTGCTCTTGTACTTGGCTTGTGATCAGGAAACATAAGTTAATAAACATGTATCCTTTTCTCTCTTTTTTTGCTTAATCCCATCACATCATTTCTAAGCTTAGTTTCCATCTAATCCTTCCCTGAGATTATATCCCCTTTTTATTACTGCACATTGGACATCATTGTCTTTTTGTAAACCTTCAACAGACATCTCCAGCTTACCCAAAATGGAACTCACCCTCTTCTCTTCCAAAGCAGCCCTTCCTCAGAGTTCTCATTTTTCGTGAAATGGTATCAGAATTCTCTAGGTTCAAAACTTGGAGCTCTGGGCACTGGGCTGGGACTGGAAGCAGTCTCTGAGTAGGACCAGGAGCCAATCAGCTGCCAAGCCCAGGCAATGAAATCCCCAACCTGTTACATGTTTCTGTTTCCTGCAGACCCACTGCCTTTGCCTTGGCCCAAGTGTATATGGAATGAATGTATCTCAGCTTTGACGCTTGAGCAAGTTGCTTCTCTTCTCTGGGTCTCATTTTACTGTACTGTAGGGAATAAACAATCCCATCTGACATAGTGGTTCTGAAGGTTAAAAGAGATAAAAGTTTGTGGAAGTGTCTGCTACAGGGTCCCTTTAAAAGGCACAGATGTCCAAGACATAATGAATCAAATGAGGCCCTTACCTCCCATCTACAAATTCTCCAATATATTGGCTCCCCGTGTACTGCATGGCGCCTGCCTGCTTAGAGTTTCCAGGCCGAGTCTCAGTGTACACCGCCTCACTATGACAACCAGGAGGGGTGGGCGGAGCCAACGCGCGCGCTCAGCTTCCTGCATTGCGCACGCTCCCTGGCTCGCAGACGCGCAGAGCAGTGCGCCTGCGCGCCGCCAGCTGCGCATGCGCATGCGCAGGCGCAGGCGGCCCTTGGCGGTCGAAAGGGGAGTTCAAGGAGACGGGGGCGACGCGGCTGCGGCTGCCTCGTCCGGGTCGGGGTTACCGACATCATGCCGGGGATAGTGGAGCTTCCCACTCTGGAGGATCTGAAAGTGGAGGAGGTGAGACTTGTCCGGGAGGCAGGCAAGCGGGGCATATGGCTGAAGTTTCCCGGGCCTGGGCCCAGCCCTGCTTTAATCCAGCGGACCCTGGGCCCAGGTTCCCTTACCCCTGACCCCCCAACACTAACCGGTCAACCCCCCGAACGCCCTTCCTCAGCTCCGGGAGTCGCCACTCCAGCCCGCTGTGGCTCGAGAACTCTTCCCCCTTCCCCCACAGCGACCTGCTTCCTTCCTGTGAGTTACAGTGGGTCCATTTTATTAAGCACCAACCAGGGGCACTTCACTTACTTTATGTCACTTAATACCCAGCCCTCCCTGCGAAGTAAGTAAGCAGCCCGGGCTGCTCACAGTCAAGGGAAGGAGAGAGGCACCTTAAAGTAGCATCCTCGGTGCAGAGTGCATTAGAATGGAGGTGGAAACCCGCAGAAAAAGGAGATGATGGTATTGGAGAGTGAAGTTGCAAGCAGCAATAGGACATTGAAAGCACTCAGTTATTCAAGAGGTACTATTTGAATAATTACCGAATGAACATACACTGGGAAATAACAGATAATGTCCCTGCCCTCATAGAGTTTATAATTTAATAAGGAGAGAGATGTACGAGGAGCCAACTTCAGTACAGTGTAGTTAGCGCTTTGAGAAGTGAAGACAGTATAATACTAATTATAGCACGTCTTGAGCAAGCCTTTTCCAAATGCCACGTGGGATTTCCGTGCATCCTTCCAGCAATGCCGAGGAAGGATGTAATTGGTCTCGCCATGTTGTAAGTTAGGAACAGGTCATGAGAGAGGACATGCTTTGCCCAAGGTCACATGGCTGGTAAGTGGATGAGCTGGAATAGGAATCCAGCTCTGATTTTAAAAGCCATGCTTTTAAATGACTATTTTGGGCAGACCCTTTTCTATTTAGGAAGACAAGTGCTATTTGACATGTCTCTGGTGGGAAGCAGCAGTCGCTGAGCCGGAAGAGATACCTGGGTTGAGGTGGGACTGGGAAGCAACTTCCACAAGGCCAGACTAAGAATCTTGGACCTTATCCTATCAGTGAGGCAATGGGGAGAGGTGGGAGGTTTAAGGCATAGGACTGGCAGGATCCGGTAGAAAAAACGATCAGGCCACATTGAAGGAGAGAGAGGCAAGACTAAAATTAATGTGCCAGAAATTATATCCCAGGCGCTGTATTACGTGGTTTACCTGCATTACCCCACTTAATCTTATATGGCTGTGATATGGCAACTATTATTTTTCTCAGATGGAGAAATTTTTAGTTGTGTTGAGGGTCGTCATCAAGTGAACTTTGCTATACAGTGGGGAGTGGGGGGGGGGGAATGGTTTCATCAAGTGAAATTTGCTATACGGGGGAGAGTGGGAGGTGTTGCTGCCAACAGTCAATCTTCTGTTTCTTGCCCCATGGTGGCGAAGCTGGTTTACAACTTGCTGTGTTTTTCATCGGAACTTTAATTTGGTACAACAAACAACAGATTTCACTTTCTGCAAGTATCCTATATCTGGAATAAATTTGCCTTTAGGCTTCACACAGTTAAATTGAGAAACAGGTAATCACATAAATAACTAAAATACAAGATAGTATAATTAAATGCTATGGGAGAGGGGCAGGCATGGTTTAAGCAAAGAGAGTATGATTTGCAGTTGTAGCTAAATTCTAGGCCTAACTGCTCAGTTACCTTGATTAGTCACTTTTAGCATTTGCGGACACCATTATTTTATTTGTAAGGTGAAGTGATTCCAGCTGTATAATTAATTTCCTGAGGCTATAAAGGGAACAGAGAAAACACTTCTTGGGCATAACGTAAGAATTACAAGCAGAGATGGAGTGAAGAGCTTTCTAAGCGAAGGTAGGATCTGAGCGAAGGTAAGGAGATGGGAGAAGGCAGCGGACCAAAAATGGGTGCTGGGACCAGGGAGTTCAGTGTTCTGAGAGAACAGCAAGAAGCTCCCTTTTGAAGTGTCATGGGTGGAGGGCTTGAAAGGTGATTTGGATTCCCAAGGCTTTGAGTACCCCATAGGAAGTTCAGGCTTTTTGCTTCTGTTAAATCCGAATCCTTCCAGGGTTTTATTGTTAATTTGTTTCAGTAGCAGAGTAAACTAAGAATTGTCTTTTAGAAAATCTAATGCTCTACCTGAACTTGAGAGGACACGAGAAAGAGGGAGGCTAGTCTTGGTGGCTAGTTATGTTGACCCCAATATAATTGGTGACTGTGCTTACAGAGAGGAAAGAACAAATTTGTCTAGAATTGATCAAACTTAGCCAAAACTTAAGGTATCAGAAGCAGGAAAAGTTGAGGAATCAATGTCAGATTTGCAACCTGACATTGGGACCAAGAAAGCCAAAGGAGGATGAGGTTGAGAGGAAAGTTAAACACATTTCGGAACTCACTGACTTTGGTGTTACAGTACATCCTATGGAGAAGGTAGTCAGAAGCTTGGGCTGGAAGATCCTTGTACACATTGACAATTTTCAGTGAAAAATACAAGCTAATACGATGTGCTTTCTCTGTGCTAGGCACTGTACCCATTATATTAATCATGACAGTTCTATCAAATAGGTACTATTATCCTTCATTTTACAGAAATTAAGTAAAATGTAAGTTATAGTATAAATTAAGTACTATAAAAAGAGGTGCTGCCGTGGTTTAAGGAAGAGAGAACAGGACTGGAAGATTGGGTGTAGATTGTAAGACTTTTTCTGCCTCTTTTCCACACCTGCAGACGAATATAAACCTGGGCAGGGAGGATGTTGTGAGGATAAACGAGGAAGGAGGTTGAAGTTCTGTGTTCTTTGAGACAAAGGGAGCTGAATGGATTTGAGAGGGTATTCACGGTGAGCAGCTGTGAAAGGAGGTTGTTTCTATTAGAATTCGTCAGTCTCAGTGAAGAAGCAGGTGGAGGAGATGATGACATTCGAAGTTCTGGGCCACCTCAGGGATAGCAGTGTCATGGAAGAGGCCTGCTTGGAGGTCATTCTCTGGATTCCAGTTTTGTGTTTGCCACTGACCTGCTATGTCAGCTTGAGCACATCTGTTTTTCCTCAGGATAAAGTCAATGTGTGGTTCTCTTTTTATCCCTGTGATAGCAGATGTTACATGCTCACAACATGGGTGTATTTAGATTTTGGTAGGACCTCGACTTTTATAGGAAAGTAAAACAAAGAATTTCATTGTCTTTTGGGGCATGATAGCTAAGAAGGCATTTGAGTTATTAAATCAGCCATTTAAAGATTTTTAAAAATATGTATTTTATTGTTTTTTTACAGAGAGGTAGGGAAAGGGATAGAGAGTTAGAAACTTCGATGAGAGAGAAACATCCATCAGCTGCCTGCTGTACACCTACTATAAAAAGTACTATAAAAAGTACTTTTGGGGGTGTGCCCACAAACAAGGTACATGCCCTTAACCGGATTCGAACCTAGGACCGTTCAGTTCATGGGTGACGCTCTATCCATTGAGCCAAACCGGTTAGGGACATTTAAAGATATTTTAATACATTTGACAAAGAAATAAATATAGCTAACTTAATTTTTAAAATATATTAAGCTTTAAAAAAATTTTGCATCTTGATTTTTATTTTTCCAGTTCTTTATAGGTAATATAGCAAAAGAAGTGTGTACCACTTACTTACCCTAAATAAACACTTATTAATACAAATTTTTATAGATTTTTAAATTTATTAGCATTGCCATGGCAAATTTCACTTATACTATATCATAAGTATTTGCTTTGATAATTGTAACAATTGTAATATTAATAGACATGGTCATAACTTTATTTTCCTCTTCCTGTAGTATATAGATGAATTATTCTCTTCATCTTTCTTTGCTTTTTAGGTTAGTAGTAATTAAAGCTAAGCTGGGTGAAATTCATAAAATAAATTATATAATTTTATTATAGAAATAATAATTATAAAATTTTCACATAAAACTCAGTGGTATCATAAAACATAATACACTGTGACATTCTAGATTTTATTCTAGATACAATGGGTCCGTTTTAAAAATTATTAATGTTCTACCTTACATTTATAGATTAATGAAAAGGAAACCTGAACATTTCAGTCTTTCCTGGTGGAGAAAATAACAGTACAACTAAACCAATTAGGATTAGAAAGAAGCGCTCTTAATGAGGAAAATCTAAACAACAGTATCCCAGATACGAGCAGCAAATGTCATTCCAAACTTTGAAGTTAAGAAAAAGGCATGGATGCTGCCGCCATCGCTGTTCATCTGTGCTATCCTGGAGGTTTGGGTCCAAGCAATAAGATGGGAAAGAGAACAAGAAAGAAAGGGTAAATATCAGAAAAGAGAGGAAGCAGTTTCTATTTGTAAATAGAAATTTTTTCATTAATTCTCTTGAGTTTTGCATCAGAATGTACAAGAATTCAGTAAGGTATAGCTAGAGAGAAAAGGCAATGTACAAATAAGCATGGACCAATTTGAAAATCTAATAGAAAAAATATCCTTGTTTATTCCTCAGTACTTTAACTGAGGAATAAACAAGGAATGTGCAGGGTTCGTATATGAAGGAAACTAATTTTAACCAAAGGACACAAGAATGACCTGAATAAATGTAGTGGCATACTGCATTCTGGATGAGAAGGCATAATTCATGTATTCTTACCTTATTTGTAACTATCATATCCTCAGTACCTGGCCCAGAAGTGAATATTCAACAGTTACTTCTGCTAGATACTATTTTGGGTGCTTGGTGAACCAAAGTAAATGTTACAATTTCACTTTAGTTTGACATCTTTTTGGAATCTATGTTGAAAAATCCATATCCTCTTGGACCTTACATTCTAGCAGTCACACACAGGGTGACCTCTGATGCAAGTTTACATAGGATGATTAGAGGGTGGAAAATTAGAACAGAGACCCAATAATGTAAAAATGCTCTTTTAATTTAATATGTAACTAAATATAATGCAGTTCCATTGCTTTTTTTTTTTTTTTTTTTTTTTTTTTGTGGAGGGCGGTGTTTGTCTGGAAGAATAGCAAAGATGATTTTGAAAAGGAGGAATAATGGGAAGGATGTTCTTCCCAGACAACAAAGTGTTCTAATAAGTTACAGTAATTAAAACATTGTGGTACTGGCCCAAGAAAAGGTACAGAAGGCCAGCAAGGCCGTGGCTGCAGCAGCTGGTAGATGGGTCATTTGCTGTGCAGTTCCTGAGAGCCATTGTAGCTGCCCTGGTGCCTCAAAACAATGCTCTGGAATCAAGTGAGACTGACCTAGTTGTAGGGATGCTACCTGGGATATACTCTATAATTTTTTAAAATTCACAGTTTTTAGTACTTTATTATTAGTAATAACTTGCTGGATGATATGATCGTACTGATGCTTTCTAGTCTCTCATCTTCTGTGATTCTGCAATCTTCTGGGAATTTTAGATATCTTCCTACTACTAGATATATTCTACTAGTCTAGTACCTGTATTAGGTAGGTATTAGGTAATATTCTTGTGTACTCTGATATTCTTTCACTTCTGATCCTGGAGAGGAGACTCATGAAAGCTCCCCAGGGTTGATTTCTCTCATTATGCCCCAAAAGCCTCCATGTTTCTTCAGAGCTCCCTTCTTTGTCATACAGACTAAGGATTCTGTTAGGGCTGCCATTTCCATGTCTCAAAGGGGATAGGAACATCAACCTAAAGAGATGGTCATGAGGTGTATAAAGCCATGGATGTGAAAGAACTTTGTGATCTCCAAAGCAATGTAGGTCACCAAGGCTCACTAGGATAGTCCCCTTGTCTTTACCTTTTTTTGGCAAAGTCGTAACAGCTATCTTTGTGTCCCCTCTGATCTGAAGACTGAGGTGAAGTTGAGGAAGCCATGTCCTAGTCACAGATCTGTGGTCTTTCTCCCATTGCTCCTTTCCCCAGGTGAAAGTCAGTTCAGCTGTTCTTAAAGCCGCGGCCCATCACTATGGCGCTCAGTGCGACAAACCCAACAAGGAGTTCATGCTGTGCCGCTGGGAAGAGAAAGACCCGCGGCGGTGTTTAGAGGAAGGCAAGCTTGTCAACAAGTGTGCTCTGGAGTTCTTCAGGTAAACGTCTTTCACATCAGTGCCTGTTTGATTGAACCATCCAGGTAAATGTATCTCGGTGAACAGCAGCTCATTAAAGGGAAGGATCATTTTTGTGACTAATGTTAGTAGGCAGAGCAAGTCTTTGAAATCAGAGAGACCAAAGTAAGCACACAATAACTGTTAGTTTTGTTATTTGTTTTTGTTATTTGGGAAGATTTTAATCTTCATGAATCTCAATTTAAAAATTATAGAATAATACCTATCTTATACAGAATTGTTAAGAAAAATTTGAAAAGGCACATAAGAACAACTCAGCTCAGTGCTAACTAGCAGGCATCCCTAATTTGTTATCATGGCCATTACTATAGAACACACAGTTAGGGTGGAAAGAAAAGTGTGTTCAGAGTCAAGTTTTGGGTAGGCCACTGTGCTTGATACTATAAGTAAAAAATTCAGATTGTAGTTGTAGAAAAAAATGTTTTACAGCCATACTAATCAGATCTCTACTAAAAGGGACTGGAATTTAATGCCAAGGGATTTGACTCATGCAACTGTTAAATCCAGAAATAGGACTGGCATTGGGCAGGGCTGGATCCAAGGCCTTAAATAATTTCAGAACAACGTGATGTTTTTTCCTCTCCTCCCCCGATCTCTTAGTTCTGCTTTGCTCTGCCAAACTCATTTTCAAAGAGACTCTTTCCTTGCTATAGCAAAAATGGGCACCAGCTATTCCAAGCCGCTATGCCACTTGCTTAGCAGATGTAGACACAGAGTGCCAACTTTCCAGTAATGTGAGCAGACCAGTAATATGGACTGAGTCTGATTGGCCTGGCTGGTTGATTCCATATGCCTATCTTTGAATTAGTTGTGTTGCAGGAGGTAAAATGCTATGGTTGGTCTGGCCTGAAGTGGGAGTAGACTTAGCTTCATCTAAACCACATTGCTGAGAGATAGGAAGGGGTTGTTTCCCGAAGGAAAATTAGAAGGATGTTACAGAAGAATGGGGAATGACTGCTGGCGAGGCAAAACCCACAGATGTCTGCTAAAATGATGTTAAAGGAAAAAATCGAATTTTGTCACATACTAGCTGGTTTTCTTTTTTTGTTTCTGCTGTCTTTGTCCACATGCAAAGATATTTTTGTGGTTAAAATAGCGTGTCTACATTTTAAAATTGATTTTTCACTTGAAACTGTTGGGAATGTTCTTTCAAGTTGTTATATTCTCTTCATGGTCATCATTTTTACTGACTATATAATATTCTATCGGTGGATAAACCAACCATAATGTACTTGACCAGTTCCTGTTATTAAACATCATTGTTGTTCCAGCTTTGATTGTTTTGAACAAATGTGCAGTGATTACCTTTGTGAGTAGGTCTTTTTCATTTTTAAATTTGTTCCTTGTCATAAATTTTCCAGCGGTGGGATTATTTTATAAAAGGCTTTAAACATTTTTACATCTTCAGCACTGTATCTAGGTATACCTCACCAGCATTACATGCTGTTTAAATATTTGGTAGGTACAAAATGGTATTCTTGCTTGAATTTGCATTGATTTACTAACATTGCTTATTTTTTAAATTAAAAAAAAATTTTTTTTATTAAGAGTTTATATGAGCCAAAACTGATGACATTGCCAGGAAGCAAGATCTCAAATGCTCCTAAGGTTTTTATTTTCTTTATTATTTTTTAAAAATATATATATTTACTGATTTTTTTACAGAGAGGAAGGGAGAGGGATAGAGAGTTAGAAACATCGATGAGAGAGAAACATCGATCAGCTGCCTCCTGCACACCCCCTACTGGGGATATGCCCGCAACCAAGATACATGCCCTTGACCAGAATCGAACCTGTGACCTACAGAGCCTGCAGGCTGACTCTCTATCCACTGAATCAAACCAATTAGGGCCAGATTTTTTATTTTCTGAGAGAACGTTGGAAAGCATTTCTCTTTTGGCCCAGAGTTAGTACATTGAAGTGGGAAATATTTGTGTGTGTTTTTGTTTTTCTTTTTGAAGAGGGAAATATTTGGATTCACGAGTTCCTGAGCTGTCTAATTGCCTCCAGGAGAGGAAGTTCTCACTGGTGAAGTTGCTTGTTATAAGTATTGGTAGATGACTATTGGGTACGGGTGCCAGGGCCCAGAGCAGAAACTAAGTACCAGAGTAGTGGGTTTCAGACTTTCTTCTACAAAACTCCCATTGGAAACAGTAGCTCACTGACAGTGATTTGCAGTATCACTTGTGAATCACTTTTGTGCACCATGGAAATCCAGCCAGGTGAGGCTACAGGAAAATCAGAAGAGTTAACTAGGGCTTTCATAGTTCTTCTTTCTTCCTGTTGCACACTCCATCACCCCCAAGGTTATACTTATACTCAGAATAGCTGGAAAGGGTACATAGGAAACCGATGCCAGTGGAACCAAGCAGATTTACAAAGCAGATTTTTCTGTTTCTGTAGACCATCTCTAAGGCTCTTTCTGAGCCCTGATAAATAAGGTTCCTATGTTGAGTGTAGAATATGTTGAGTCTTGAATATGACAAGCAAGTGTTCAAAATTATTCTTTTTGGGACAGGCGATGTTCTGCATTTCTTCCATGGCCTCAAATACGGCTTTTACATGAAATAATGGTATTTTATTTTTGCTTTAACTTGCATTTATTTGGTTACTAGGAAAGCTGAATGGTAAGAGAAAGGAGATTCTGAAAAATAATTAATATGCTACTTTGCTTCTTTGTAGAGAGCACCAAATATAATTTAATTTTATTACTGACAACAGTAATCTCTGATTTTTGTTTTGTGCATTAATAGAATGAGGACCTTGAACTTTTGAGGAGTGTAGGGCATTCTGCCTCTAACCTGGATGCTCCCAGGATCTTCTGTTTGGTAGTTTGTATATTTGCTTTTTATAATCTGTCTCCTTTGCCATTATCTGTCAGCATGCCCATCTCTGCTTATGCCTCTGTCTCTTCTAAACTTGCTAAGTTGATAATCTTTAGAATTGGGTCTAAAGAATAAATAGGATCCAAGTGAGGAGGTCTGGTCTGTTCCTATTTCCCCCACATTTCTGTTTTTCATTGTTTTTCCCCTAACCTATTTTCTTTTCCAGGCAGATAAAGCGTCACTGTGCAGAACCTTTTACAGAATACTGGACCTGCATTGATTATAGCGGCCAGCAGCTATTCCGTCACTGTCGCAAACAGCAGGCAAAGTTTGACAAGTGTGTGCTGGACAAGCTGGGCTGGGTGCGACCTGACCTGGGAGAGCTGTCCAAGGTATAAAGGGTGTTCTGCTGGCAGCTCACTCTGCTCACTTTCTCATTAAGGGGAGGTTAAGGAAGGAGTTGGTCAGAAAAAGGTTCTCTGCGAGTACAGGTATGATGTGAGAAATCCAAATTTACCTAACAGGTTAATCAGGGAGTGATTATACACAGTCCTGAGGGAGTTTGACAGAGATGCTCCTTTAAATAGATCTTCCAGCATGTGCAGATTTGTTTGTGGGTAATTAGCTAATTGAAGAACAGAAGGGAGTAGATGAGGATAAACAAGTGTTAGGGGACAGACACATTGTTGGTTGAAAATATTGAGGCTATGGTGGAATTCATTGGGGAAATAGGATCAGGGTTATGCCAGATTTTTCAGGAACGTACCTAAAGTAAAAAAAAAAAAAAAAAAAAATGCATGCCTATAGCTTAGACAGTAAGTTTCCTACCCTTTCTCCTGTATTTCCTATCTCAGTTGTGATACCACCACCTGTTGAAACATCAGAGCTGGAAACCTGAATGTTGTTTTTCTTCACTTCCACTCTTTCTCCCTTCTTCATACAGTCATCCTTCCTATAGATCAGCAGGAAAATTTTTTGAATTATCTCAGTGTCCCTACTTCTTGGCCAGGAGTTCCTCACCTGAATTTCTGGGAAGGGAGATAGATCAAATCGGATTTTAGAAGACAGTCCATCCTCTGACATTGAAGAATTTAGGAAATAATTACATCTTCATGATAGGCATGATGTTGTGGAAAATAAATGTCACTTTCTTTTAAAAAACTGTTTAGGAGCTCCCTATTGCCTGCCAGATAAAGTGTCCTCTCTATATCTTCGCATAAAAAGCCCTTTCTGATCTGACCCATCCCTGCTTCTTGAGCCTCATCACCCTGCATTCTCTCTGGGACAGCGTACATTCCAAGCCATGGAGAGAAAACTCAGGTTTTGAGTGGATACAGATAGATTTGAATCTTGGTTCCACTTCTTAATTGCTATAGGATCCCAAACAAATTGCTTAAAATTTATTTTCATATCAGGTCTGGCACCTGTGTTAATCCCTCAATTTCTGTGAGGATTAAGCTAGAGAGCCTGTGTGAATCTCCAACCTTGTGCTGGGCACACAGACCAACAGTTACTGTCAGTTTCCTTCTGTGAGTGTGTATTGTCTGTGTCTTAAGCTTCGTGTCATAAGAAGATGGATGGCTTAGCAATTTGTTTTTGTTTTTAGTACCTGGCTTGATTATTTTACTTCAGATACCTTCTTTTGCTGCACTGAACAATTTTTTTTTAATAGTTGATAATTCTAAGTTGGAAAGAGGTGGAACTTACATATTTAATAATGAAAACTACCTTTTCTCATTTCTGTCTTTCAAGAAGAGAGAATTAATAAATCATGCTGTTAAGAAAGCATATTTATTTAGGTGTCTCTGTGTTAACATTTTTAAAACCCTAAACAAAGTATTATTTCCTTTTTTCAAAAGTTATTTCTTTAAGGGGATTATCAGTTTTAGTTATGCTGAAATCCGTATCCAGTCTCCTATCAGCTGAACAAAACCTAACTTTAAATTTCATTTACTTTTCTTTTTAATCCTCACCGGAGGATATTTTTCCATTGATTTTTCAGAGAGAGAATATGGAAGAGATGGCAAGACAGAGAAATATTGATATGAGAGAAATACATTGGTTGCTTGCCTCCTGCACGCACCCTGACCAGGGCCCAGACCAGGGAGGAGCCTGCAACCTAGTCACATGCCTTTGACCAGAATTGAACCTGTTCCCCTAGTGATTCCTACCCACTTGTCTAGTCTCAGCTCTCATGTCATGTCATTTGAAGTTTCTGACTCTCCTAGGAAGATTTGCTCTTTCACCCTTGATCCTGTCATCCTGGTTATAGTAATATTGAAAAGGACTTATGGAGCACCTGCTGTTTATACATCAGGCACTTTTTGTATATGATCCTAATAACCCTGTGAGCTCATAGCCCCAGTTTAGAGATAAGAAACAAGATTAAGTAGGCTGTTCAAGGTCATTTACCCACATGCTTCTACACCTTTTTTCTTTTGAGCGTGGTGCAGAAGAGGAAGTTGTTATTGTTCTTTCCACAATCATTTGTCTTTTAAAGGGTTCTTTTATTGCTTTCAGTTTGAGAAAGATTTTTCTTAATTTCAGAGGTATCTTGAATTCCTTCAAGGAGCTTCAAATGTCAGCTGGAGCATTTGGAATGACTCTCTCCAGCAGTAAAGAACCATTATCGATCTCTAATTACAGCAGAGATGAGAGCACTGTTTTAAAAACAAAAGACTATTCTGGACTTGTAGTCAGAAGATATGGGTTCTGGCACCAACTCTAACATTTACCATGTACTTTTTTTTTTTTTTTTTTAAGTTAAAATTTCTCCTTGTTTATTTTATTTTAAATTTCTTTATTGATTAAGGTATTAATCATATTTGTCCTCATCCTCCCATTCCCATCCCTCACCCCTTCCCATGCATGGCCCCACCCCCCTGTTGTCCTTGACCACTGGTTAGGCTCATATGTATGCACTCAAGTCCTTTGATCTCTCCCCTTTATCCCCACCTTCCCTTACACTTCCTCATTTATCATGTACTTTTGTTTTAGGCAAGTTAGCCTCGTTGTCCTCATCTGTGAACTATAGGTAATAATGCTTCGTTGGGTGGTTATAGTGATAATTACTAATTGTGTACATGAAAGCTCTGTTCATGATATAGGAAGACTAATCTGGTCATGTTATGTGGAGTGACTTAAGAGTTCAGACCATTAGATAACCAAACAGTAACTATGGCCTTGTATCTGTGTTCTCTGGGCCTGTTTCTTCATCTTTAAAATGAGAACAGTTTCTGCTAGGTTTTCAATAGAGATTTTTGTGGCCATTTCAGGAGATAATGTGGGTATAAACACCTTCCATCTCTCTCCCTGTTCTATAGTTCAGTGTTCCACCCTCTCCCCTGGCCTGTGAGCTCAGCTCTCCACTTCTGTCCACTTTAGCTTCTACACCTTTCAGCCTGCAGATGTGATTGAGTTACTTCCCTGCTTCATGTTACCATCAGGTTAAAGTTCAAACACCTTGGCATATCCTACCCTTCATCACTGGCCCCTGCCTACATGTAGCGTGCTATGGAAAAGCACAGGCTTTGGACACAGATCTCGCTTTGGGAATTAGCTAGGTAGCCCCAGTGAACTCTGCAGAATGCCCCAGGGTGTGAGAATGAGGTGGAACAATGTGCCCAGCATCATTTCCGACAGCACTGAGTGGGGTTAGGTGGGTGCTCTGTTTTCCTCCACTCTCCATGCAGCCTTTGCTTTCGCCATTGTAAAGACATGCCTCTCTACCTTCATATGGACTGTTTACTGGGAATCTTCCTGCTGGCTCCTGGTCATCCTTCAAGGTTAAGCTAAACATTTCTCCCTCCCCTCTTGAAATAGTCCAGGCCCCTAGCCCTCAGGATGGTTAGATGTGTGGAGTCCTTGCCATTCTAGCACTCGGTTTGTGTCTCTGTTACTGTAATTCGGTTAGGAAGTCGTTGTTGATTTTCTTGTCTGGCTCCCTCACTAGACTGAGCCCCTTGATAGCAGTGTATATCTTGTTCCCTTCTCTGTCCCAAACTTCCACCATGTGGAGTGACACAAAGTGAGCTGTCATAATGTTTTCTCAAGGATTGAGTGAGTGTAATTGTGATTTGCTGGCGCTCAGAGAAGAGGAGTAGTTGGGGCAGAGAAGCAGAGAGGAAACAATGGGAAACAATGGGGTCACAGCCACTCCACCTGACTTTCACCTTTGTATCTTTTCCTCTTCAACCCTCGCAGGTCACCAAGGTGAAAACAGATCGACCTTTACCGGAGAATCCCTATCACTCAAGATCGAGACCAGAGCCCAACCCTCCGATAGAAGGAGACCTGAAGCCTGCCAAATATGGCAGCCGCTTTTATTTCTGGACCATGTAAAGATGGGTCCATGGCCCCCACTCAGCCACACACCCAGACAATGGATGAAAACTCACATGCAGTTAGCATCGACTGATAGAGCTCTTTCCGGGTTCACAAACATTAACAGAAAGTTAATTTATGTGACTTGGCAGTTATTCTATACCATTTCCTGGCCATTAAAAATTTTAAAGGAAACAGTTGTATTTTATTATGTTTTATATAACCTTTTGGCCTTTAAAGATGACTTCCCCTTGTGTTTTCTCCTTGTGGCCCTGCCTGTTCCTCTCTCTCTGCTTTAAGTAGACATTTGCCAATGTGGCAATTTGGTGGTAGAGAAATGGCTATGATGGAAAGGCTTTGTTACCTGAGACAGCTGCTTGGGGCAAGTGGGGGAAGGCATTCACACATTTTGGAGTCGACTCTCTTTCCAATATGACCTCTGAAATAGATTTCCTTAAAGGTCATATAAGGGGAGCGTCCTGCATAGGAAAAGCAAAGAAATGTTTGAGCCTCTGACTCAGGCCACGGGAGGGGCCTCCTGGCTGAGTCCTAAGCAGTTTTGCTCAGGCTTTCTTAAAGAACCAAACTTCCACCACTTCCCCTTGATATCCCATCCTCAAGCGTTATAACCCAGATGTTTTTCCTGATAGACCAGGGAGGTGGACGCTGAGCTCTCAGCTCCAAAGCCAGGAAGTCGGGAGGTCTGAGTGTCAATTCCAACCTTGGGTGTGTTCCTTAACCTCTTGTGAGAGGTTGAATTTGAGGACAAACTAAAGGGAACATGCTTATCTACCTCCTGAGCAGGTTAAAGCCACAAGTATTTATAAAACTCTGGTTCAAAGCCCTATTATGTCTTTATTTTCTCCTTTCATTTGGTTTCTTTTTCACTAGTAGGCTATTTCCTCTACATCTGACTGGGTCACTTTACACCTGGCTGTGGCTTGAAATTGCATACGACCCTGCATGTCATTTCAATTTCCAGGGCATTGGTTTCCAATGTGCAGAGTTCAAAAATATGAAGTCATCACATAAGAGTCTTTCTAAAGACCATTCCAGCTCCCTTTCTGGATAGTCTAAGTGGGGAGATTGCTGAGAGGCCCTGGGCGGATGAGGTGCAGGACCCTTTGGCCCAAGTGTTCGGACACTCAAGACAAAGCACTGCATGGTCTGCTCCCCTCTATCCTCACCCTGTTTGACCCCACAGTTGGGATCATTTTAGTTGACCCTTCCCCCCCCCTATTCTGCAAACATGCCTTGCCAACTGTCTTTGCCTCATTCTCCAATTTAATGAAGAAAAATAATTCTTCATTAAAGAAAAGATTCTTACATTTATAAAATAGCTATAGCAACATCCCTTAACCTCTTGGAGGCCAAGTAATTGGGAGTCACTGATGTGAAAGTTTGGAGATGGCTCCAAGTTGACATTTACATGATGCCTCAAGCTATGTGTTGCTTCCTAGGTCTCTTCTGCAAAGGAAGCTGGGGCTTACAGTATGTGCCTTGTGCCAAATGCTTTACATATGTCACCTTCAAAGCATAGAGCCTCTTGAAAACTATTCTATTTGCCATGCCCATTTCACAGATGAAGGCACTAAAGCTTAAGGAGAAGTTAAGCCCCAGTCTTCTATGGGATGCAAAAGAAGATTGTCTGGTTCCAACAGCTACACTCTTGTCCTTCAGAATAATCGATGGCTTTCAGCCTTGGGTGCAGGCTACAATCACGTGGAGACTTTTAATTACTGATAATCTAGATCCCACCCCTAGAGACCCGGATTTAAAATGTCTACCTGGTGGCCGGGGTATGGAGTTTTTAAAAGCTCCCCAGGTTATTCTAAGGTGAAACCAAAGTATAGGGCCACTGAGGCAGGTCCAGGAGGCTAAGTGACTATGCTGAGATATAAATCCAGATTCATCTGATACCAGAGCCCATACTTTAAATATAATATATGCCATGGCTTATGAATCACTGGGGATTTTAGAAACATGAAGATTCTGATTCAGAGGGTTTGGAGTAGGACCCACTCTGCTGGTCTGCAGATTACACTTTGGGTAACCAGGTGGTAAACCATACTGTTTCTGAGTTCAGAATCTATGAATATTCTGCTTCAGTGTCCAGCCCTGGACACTTCCCTAGTGTTGGTTTACCTCAGAATCAGAGCATCAGGTCCTAAACTGTTAATGTCTTTAAATTCAATTCTAGGATGTTTTAACTTTTGCCCAAGTTGGACAGCAGTTCTTGCCTTCCCCCCTCCCCCCTCCCCCCCACCTTGCTTTGAATTCCTTGAACAAAGAAACTAACTTTTGGCTTTCCTGTATTCTTGATAGAATTATACCACATCATAGCCTTCTAGGACCAAAGAGTCGATAAGTAAAGATAAAATTCCTAAATTCTTTCAGAACAAATGCATCTTGCAATTTCAGTAAGCAAAAGGTCACGGGACAATTTGGAAGTAGAGTAAAGGATCCCCGAGCAGGGCTCCAGATAATAGAAAAATCTTCCTGCTTGAGAATAATGAGGCTGATTCCTTACATTCCCAAAGGAATTTTATCTGCCCCCTTTCCTCGGCCAAGCCTGTTCCTGTCTTCCCTGAGTTAATGGTGTCTCCATCCTTCCAGTGTCAAAACATGAGATGCACCTTTGACTCCTGCTCACTCCCGTACCGGGCCCTGGTGAGTTCCTACTATTATCTCTTACATTGAGACTTCCTCTTTTATCTCACTGTCACTGTCCTGGCCTGTTTTTGTCCCCTTGCCTGGATTTCTAACACTATTTCTGATGCAGTCTCCTGCCTTTGTCTCACCCTCCAATCCCTCCTCCACTTACGGCATGTGCCTCTGCTGCTCAAAAACCTTCAGTGGCTCTTGAAAGGCCATTAACTACTGCCAAATCCTTACTGGAAGGTGGATGCCCCACAATCTGGCCCTCGCCTAGTTCATTTTCCCCATTGTTATCTTATTTCTCCATACCATGTACTCTGTAGTCTCCCAAATGTCGTTTCTCAAGAGTATTTTCCAAATTCCAAGTCTTCAATAAAGCTGCCATCCACTTGCCAGGAAACAATTCTTTTCCCATCTCTGCCTCTTGAAAGTCTACCCATCTCTCAAGGCAAACACGAGTGCTGTCTTCCCCAGGAAGCATCCCCTTCCTACAGCCAGAGAGGCCTTTCCTGCTCCTTTGTTCCCTTGGCACAGGATAGCCTGAGGGTTGAGCACAAGGGCTCTGGAATGGGCTGGCTGGATCTGAATGCAGGCTCTGTCAGTTAATAGCTGTGTGATCCTAGGCAAGTTAGCCTTTCTGTACTTTATTTCCTTCATCTGTAAAATGGGGAACAATAATAGTACCTACCTCCCGGGATGCCTTTGAGAATTTAATGAGTTATGCAGATGAAATGCAAAATATTGTGTTGATAAATAACAGCAATTATTATAACACTTTATTTTTGTAGCACTGGTCATGGCACTGGGTCTCAGTCTTGTAAGACCTGGACTTCCACCTTATTTATATGTCTATATTTTAGTGCCCAGCACATGCCAGACATGCAAGATATGATCAACTTATGCACCAGGTTTATCACCACCCCCACCACCTCCCCACAATATATTTTTGTTGATTTCAGAGAGAAAAGGAGAGGAAGAGAAAGATCGAAATATCAATGATGAGAGAGAATTATTGATTGGCTGCCTCCTGCATGTCCCCGACTGGGGATGGAGCCCACAACCCAGGCATGTGCCCTTGACCAGAATTGAACCTGGTACCCTTGAGTTCATAGGTCAACGCTCTATCCACTGAGCCAAACGAGCGAGTGCTATCTTTCCATAGAACATCCAAACCCTCTTCTGGCCACAAAACAACAAATTATGTAGAGATAGGAGTTTGAGATTAAACTGCCATTTTGTAAGTATCAAATTCTCACTGAAATGTTTTGGATATAATAACAGATACATTCTTATACCCTGATATGGATCATGATATACGTATTTTCCGGTGTATAAGACGACTTTTGAAACGAAGAAAAGTCGACCGAAAATCGGGGGCAAAAAAACAAAATTGCACAAAAATTACCTGCAGATCTTGACGGCAAAGTAAGTCTTTTCTTTGAAGTGGGGGTAGTCTTATACAGCGAATATAGGCCTAAACCTATGTTTTAACTGTAAAATTGAGGTCGTCTTATACGCCGGAAAATACGGTACTTGTGTTTTAAAAAGTACCAGCTGCCTCAGTTTGGGGGTTGTGACGTTTTTGTATGTATGTCATTTATAATGTGTGTCCCATGCTATTTGTTTTAATAAGACAAATCCTGACATTTACAAATTTACTTACTTTGCAAAAATAAATTAAAACAAATTCAAGAGATTCGGGAGAGGTCCAGGAGGAAGCCCCGGATGTCACATCTGAGAAGTGATCTGTCTGGGAAACAAATGGAGGTTGTCTGCTTCCAATGGCCTTCAACGTCATTGAATCTCGCCTTCAGTGCACACTGGAATCACCTGGAGACCTTCAAATACTGCTGTCTGGTTCCGGCCCCCCCCTCCCCCCCCGTGGTTTTCCGGTTTAATTTGTCTGTGGTGTGGCCTGGACATACAGATTTTGTAATAACGATTATGACTCTTGCTCATTTATACTCAGTCTTTCTTCAGTGGGAGAAAAGAGGATATAGTTGCAGCTAGAACCTTGGAAATCTATTGATTAACTCTAATCCATTGAGCCAATATTTTACAGCCTGCCAGGTGCTAGTTAGTGTGCCAGACATGGGTGATGAGCAAGACAGGCAGGGCCCTGCTCTTGTGGGCATCCAGCCGGTGGTGGAGGCAATGACTAGGTAAATACAAGGTGGTTTCAGATGCAAAGGAACCAAACAGGTTCAGATAAAAGCCAGGAGCTCAGGGATGCGGGAGGGTGTGTTTAGGAAGAGAGGCCATGGAAGCTCTCACAGGAAGCACTGTTTGCCTTCCTCCCAAAGGGTGAAGAGGAGCCAGCCAGCTCAAGGAAGAGTGTCCCAGTCTGAGGGAACAGCAGA